AGATTTGTCATTTACATTATTTTTTATTATATATGGAAGTTATTAATAAATCTTAATTAAGATAACATAATAAAGAAAATTTTATAAATGGTAATATTTAAATGTTTNTTTTTTTTCTTAATTAAATTTAATCATTAAAGGTAGATTTGTCATTTGCATTGTTTTCTATTATATATGGAAGTTATTAATAAATCTTAATTAAGATAACATAATAAAGAAAATTTTATAAATGGTAATATTTAAATGTTTATTTAAATTAAAATTTAAAAAATTGAATATTGTTATTTGGTTTCTCGGTTTATTAGTGGTAATAATATGAAAATCGAAAAGTATTATATTCATTAATCCACGAAATCAGTAACAGATCCAAACAAATATTCATGAACCGGTAAAAATATAATCAGCTGTGAAACAGATTCATGTTAGATTTGTTCATGAAAACATTCATTGAGGAGTTTGTTTTATGAAACGTATGCAGATTGGTTCGTGAAAATGTTCAATGAGGAGCTTGTTTTATGAAACTTTTGGGGATGAACTGGTTGCGTAATATAATGTTCTTGCATAATCTTGTTTTCTTATCAACAATATTTGATGAAATTGTTTCATTTTGTTTTTTTTTGGATGATTTTGTTCACTTAATGGTTAACAAACCATGTAATGGTAAATGCATTGACTCTATGAAACGTGTTCGGATTGGAAAAAATTGGTCGATGAAAGGGGTGCATAAATAAAGTGCAACCATTTCATAATTGTTAATAAAATGTTATGTAATTAGCGAACAGTAAAACAATTTCATTATCACAATGAAACGGATTCATCTACCAATAACATGAAAATGACAAATGTCTCATCAGACATTAGCAAACAGTGAAACTATTTCATAATTGTTAAGAACATGTTGTTTAATTAGCAAACAGTGAAACCATTTCATAATTAGATTGAAACGGATCCATCTATCGGAAACTTAAAAATGACAAATGTCTCATCTAGCATTACGTTGATTTGTGTATTGATGAAACTGTGAAACCATTTCGTTCATGAAATATAGTAGTAATTTTTTTTTTATTCAAAAGGTTTCAATATGTTAAATTGATTATAGTGTGTTTTATTTTTATTGTTGATCTATTTTAATGATAGATGTTATTTTTTTATAATATTTGAACATAAAATTAATATATTATTTTACAAATGATTTTGTTTCATTAATATTATGATATGCATGATATGATTGTCATTATATTACCACTACCAAAGTTACCATTTTACCCTTTTTAAGATTATAAAATAAATTTTTATTTTTATTTTTTTTTATTTCCTAATATAACTTATACTAATCTTGACCATTGATCAAGAAAATGAATGAATGAGATTGGTTTACATGGTTTACACAAATGAGAGTGATTTTCATTTGATCGTTCCTCAATCTATCTATCTATCTATCTATCTATATATATATATATATATATATATATATATTAATCATAATTATATTAAGCATAGAAAGTATATTATTTTATCAATAGGTTTGTAAGGGTTTAATTATTTGAAAATTTTATTTAGAAGATCATTTAAAAACTCTAAATGAAATATTTAAAATAATTAATATTATTTATTAAATAAACATGAAAAGATAATTCACTAATTTTTTCACAACTCATAAAACCATTTAAGTTAGGAAAGTCAATTATGATAATGCATACTTTGGTAATTTAGGAGAAAATTCACTAAATAATGTAATTATGGTAATCTAGGACTTTCATAAAATCACTTTATTTAGAAAAGTCAAAATTTAATATTTACAACTTACAACTAATAATCATTTGGTATTTTTTTATATTAGTTTGGTGAAATTTGTTGTTATTACTTTTACTGTTTCATATCTTTTTTTCGTATCTTTTTTTAACAGTTGAAATTTTATAGTAAAATGCTGTGAATATAAAAAAACGAACATTCACAGTGTTTTGCTATAAAGTTTCAAGTGTAAAAAAATGGTTTTACGAGTCTCATGAAAACAGACTGGTTTCACATGTGATTTCATTTGATGAAAAGTTAAAAGAGCTGTAACTAAATGTTAATTCATTATATATTCACATTGTGATAATGTGTTTTAGAACAACACAAATGTACATGGAATAAATTTTGAGTATTTCATACATTCACAATGTAATTATAAGTTTTTGAATATTTCATATGTTCGCAAATTCTAATATAAATTGTTTGTGTATGTTATGTTTTTAATGAGATGAAAGAGAAGAAATGATATTTGTAGAGCATCTCCAATAAATTTTTTGTAATTTATTTAAGATAAAGAATTAAAAGTCAAAATATCTAAAATAAATTATATTTAACTTCAACAAGTTCTCTATTTTAGAGATTTTATTATTAATTATATTATTTAAATATTTTAGAATTGTATGATTCAAATGCACTTTTGAAAAAAAAACTTCATATAAACAATTAATCCGTGAAATGAATAAAAAAAACCTTATTTCTCTCTCATCTCTTTAGAGTTATAGATAATTTTATATATTGAGGATTTCTCCGTGATTTTCTATTTTATAGAAAGAGCATTTCCAACAGCTTGCTAACGGTTGGAAATACCTTAAGGTATGAAAGTAATTAAAACATTGTAGATAATAAAAAAATTGATTTTCTCTATTTGAGATAAACTGTTCGAGATACTATAAAATACTCACAATGACCTTTAGATAAAATTATTAACTTCCAAATTTAACATTTGGTTTAATATGATTTATAATTGGGAAAGTTATAAAAATAACCGTTTTACACAACCCTTTGCCACAAAATAACCACATTTTAGAGGTTTTGCCAAAATAACCACCCGGATCGCCCCGATCCGTACATAATGGGGGCGATCCCCTTAAAAAAGTAAAAAAAAAAAAATTCTCAAAAGTCGAGATTACTGTTCATCTCGTTGATCGTGTTTGACCTCGCCCGGGGGAGATCCGTACTATTCACGGGGACGATCCGTACAGTACGGGGGCGATCCGTACTGTTCAGCCATGAATTTTTTTTTTAAATTGAAGTTGTATTTTTTTTAACTTTTTTAAAACTAAATTTCATGAGGAAAAGATTTAAAAATAAATCTTTATAATTATGGAGACGCAAAAATTAATTTTCTATGTTTTGTGTTTCGGAAATCAGATATAATATCTGATTGACGAAATTTGACCTCTRTTTTTTGTTTTTAATTTTAAATTTCACGGTTTTTCGTTATAAAATAACTGGATGATAATTGTGGTTACGAAAAAAAATATTTAGTTGATATTTGGAGAAAAAATCAGACATTATACATGTGGGGGAGGTAATCAGAAGGTACTCTAAAACACCATTTATATCTTGGAATAAACCGCCACTTCGAAGATACACACAAACATTATCACTTTCACGTGATTTCATGTTTTGTGATGGTTGATTGTGTTTAATGGGTTAAAGGTTATGATGGTTTATTGTGTTTAATAGGTTAAGGGTTGTGAGAGTAAAATATACGAGAAAAGAAATGGAAGGGAATGTGTGAAAAATTATGAATTAGGAGGTTGGTATTTATAGTGAAAAAAAAATCAATTTTTTTTTACTCGGATCGCCCCCAGTAAATTGTGAAATTTAAAATTAAATATGTAAAAAGACACTTTATGTATTTTTCCATTTTTATTAAAAACACCCCTTAATTGTTGTATAAAAATAGAKKTHAAATWTYGTCAATCAGATATTATATCTGATTTCCCATGAAAATTAATTTTTGCGTCTCCATAATTATAAAGATTTATTTTTAAATCTTTTCCTCATGAAATTTGGTTTTAAAAAAGTTAAAAAAATACAACTTCAATTTAAAAAAAGAATTCATGGGTGAACAGTACGGATCGCCCCCGTACTGTACGGATCGCCTCCGAGCGAGGTCAAACACGGTCAACGAGATGAATAGCAATCTCGACTTTTGAGGATTTTTTTTAATACTTTTTTAAGGGGATCGCCCCCATTATCCGGGGGCGATCCGGGTGGTTATTTTGGCAAAACCTCTAAAATATAGTTATTTTGTGGCAAAGGGTTGTGTAAAACGGTTATTTTTATAAATTTCCCTTTATAATTTACATCCAAATTTGAGCTTAACAATCTATACTATATTGTAAAACATTTGACAAAAACTCTTAAAAACCATTTTTTACGCACAAAGTACTGTTTATTGATGCATATTACTTAAATTCAAGATTATAAGTAAATTATACATAAGTACAACTTATTAAAGCTTTATGTTTGAATTCCTGTAACTAACTGCAGATAAACATAATCAAATAAATGATAAACATTTCATTTTAAATATAAAAATCTAAAATATAACAAAGATAATTATTGAGTTCTAACTGAATACTTAATTATTATCTTTATAAGATATATTTAACAATCAAAATAAATTATTTTGTTATTAACCTTAAATTAAATTATAATTAAAAGAAATTACATAAAAGAACGAGAATTTTTAAATAGTTAATTTGATACTAATTTTAATATTTTTTTTTTTAAATTTTATGATATCTTAAAATGTATATTTTATTTAAAAATAAAAATATTATCGTTTTTTCAAAACCACATAAAACCGTATTATAACATTGATGAAGACAGATGATAAAACAAAACATTAAAATCAAAATGTATTTTGCTATATTAGATAAGTACCCTTCTAGTTTATATTAACAAATTTGATTAAATTGAAGAAGTCTTCATACTTAATAAATATAAAAAACAAGTTTTGAAACAATATTTTGATTAAACTCCAAAATACATATTATAAAAAACATTTTAATATTTTTAATAATGAATTTTGTTTATTAATTCGGCCGTGCCTCTCTCTCTCTCTCTCTCATCCACACCAACAAACCCCTGATCCATCCATCAAAATCACCCCCTCCAGTCGACCTGAAATCTACACACACCACAATAATCTCTCTCTCTCTCTCTCTATATATATATATATACACACATATATATGTAGATGTATATATATATCTGATCATGGCCGCCAATTAAATCTGTTGGATTGATTATTTCGTTATTAATAGACACACCCAGAACTGTATAGAGAAACAAGAAGAAAAGGTGTCGGTGCTGTTGATTTGACTTTTTCTCCTAGATCCATGGAAGAGATAGGCGGACGCGGTGGTGGAGGTGGCGAATTAGACGGACGATGTAATAGTAGTAGTTGTCCATCGACGGCCAAAAGGAAAAACGATCAGAGGCCTTACAAGGGAATACGGATGAGGAAGTGGGGAAAGTGGGTGGCGGAAATTAGGGAACCAAATAAACGCTCCAGGATTTGGCTCGGATCCTACTCCACACCCATCGCCGCGGCTCGAGCCTACGACACCGCCGTCTACCATCTACGTGGTCCCTCCGCCCGCCTCAACTTCCCGGAATTGCTGGCGTCCGATGGTGGTCCACATGAGTTGTCCGCCGCTTCTATTCGGAAGAAAGCGACGGAGGTTGGGGCTCGCGTGGACGCTGAAACGAGTTGTACGTTGATGAGTAGGAGTGGTACGCCTTCTGAACTCAAGCCCTGTTGGTTTCAAGAAAAGCCCGATTTGAACAAGATACCTAAACCCGAACCCGAGTCCGAATACCCAGATGGGGATGATAACTGGTGAAGGTGTTGAACAGAAGCTAATTTTTTGGTCAAAATCTTTTTCTTGGAAAAAAGAATGATAGGTTGTAATTGGGGTTCTGGTGAATAAAGACTCTTGTTCAATATTCCAATACAATGCTTTTTAACCTCATCTTAAAATGTATATGTATATGTATATGTATATGTATATGTATATGTATATGTATATGTATATGACTTGTTTTTTAACAAAATCTTTAAAAAAAGACAAAATACAAAGAAAAACAGGACCACTTCTGATGTGGTATGTGAGAATGAAGTTGTCTTATATTGGGTTTTCAGTTATAAGTCTTGTTCATCATTAAGAATTAAGATGTTTGTTGTCACATGTGCCATCATTTTCTTATATTGAGGGGGCATTTGAGATTCCTTATAAAAATAACTTATTGACTTATTTCGGTTTGACATCGATAAACAACTTATACCGGTGTCAAATCGGTAATAAGGACTTTTTGTAGAAGTTAAATCTTTCTGACTTATAATAAGTTGATAAGTGTTTTAGTAGAAAATCATAAGTTGTTTCAAATAAGCAATCCCAAACACCCTCCCAATTTCTCGTCATATGATATCTTTGGAGATGGAGGGAAGGTTATGATTGTCGGTAAAACTTTTGCCCAAATTTTCTTTTCTTTTAACTTTTTTTTTCTCGATAAAATCCTTTTTTTAACTTATGAATCTTCTGATTTTATAATGACTTGTATTCACTTTTGAATATGCCGTTGATTTTTAACTTTAAGAAAATAAAATTTGACTGCCCGGAACAAAGGGACTTGTGTTGGATAATTCAGACAAACAAAACATTGTATCATCAGATAAGCAAGGATGTATGGTTGAGACCCAGGTAATCACAACGAAAACGGCCTGCTTTTTTATATTTGTCAAAGTAAAACACAATTGATCGACATCTGGATCAAGATGGTACATACAAAAGGAGGGAGACACGTGTCAATGCTAGGGGTATTAGCAAATAGTGTGAGATGTTGACGTTTATAAATGATTAGAATTTCCAAAAATAAATATTGAAGCGGTCCAAAAATAATAAATTTTATTGTTTTATATCCATTCACTAATCAAGAGATCAAGATCAAAATCGTAATTAAAATGTATAACTTACACAATATTTTTAAACAACTTTTTAGTTTATTTCACATATTCAATTTTTGTCGAACCATTTTGGTGGTTTGAGTTCTCTTATTTGATTACAATAATTTTATTAATTTGATCCGTTAAAAAAAACCTACCTCGTCATCCTTTAAAGTAATCATGTGTGGTTTTGTGGAGAGTTCTCTACAATCTATTCAACAAGCAAAAAAGGAGCGTTAAGTATCCCGCCTGGGGAGTACGTTCGCAATAATGAAACTCGACAAACTGGGAGGATATGTAAAAGATATTCAAATATGGAGCAAGAAAACTCTATGAAAAGATGGATTTTCCCAGAATGTACCCTAATTTTTGCAATTTTATCAAAAGATTAATTGAATTTTTAAGGTCAAGGAAGTTGGTGACCTGATGACAGGGAAGAAATTAGAAAAACGAAAAAGCCTACAGCAAAAGCAATAAAAAATGCAATATATAATATTATTTCGAAATAAGCCTTGGGTAAAAAAAAATAGCGGGTGCAGGTTCCCATCAAATAAGTGGAAGATTCATTGCTTAAGGTCGTCAATCGTTTTTTTACTCTTCAACCCCTCTCATTCCATTGGTTTTCCAATAAGGCCAGAGATTTCTCTTGGTCATGGGCAGAGCGGTGTGGGGGTTTGGCTCTCTTTGCTAGTTGGGGTTTCTTTGATTCGTTTTGTTGGCCTTTTAGCTTCGATTAGTTTCTTGTTGTCATGCTTTCTGTTTCTGGTTCTTCCAGAAAGTTAGCCCCTTCTTTGTGTCTTGTGTTTTCGGTTTGACTTGTACCAAATATGGTTTATTTATCTATTTTCTCTCATTTCCCCTCTTTATTTTAGAAGGAGTTCAACATAACTGGTGGAATAATTTTTTCTCAAATCTCCAAGATTTATAAAATAGTATAACTGTGAGAGATGCTCTAAACTTTCATAATCATATTGATGATTCTTACAATTACATAACGTTAAAAAAAAAAATAGGGGAAAAGATATAACGTGTTGAAATACTCTGTGTTGATTAGATAAATTTATTGCAAGGGGTTAAAACTGGTAAAAGTAGGAACTTGTGGACATGTTTTACATGTAGCTAGAAATTGTTGGTAGAAAATAAACCATTTTTGATACAAGTCTAAAATCATCTTGTAATAATGTTTTGAAATACCTTAAAAATAATTATTTGTTAATTATCTAATAATAAATAAGTAATTCAACTATTTTTTATAATTCATTTTTATAAATTATATAAAGTAAGAAATCCAAAATTCCATTTCAAATCTTACAAATTAAACACAACAAAAATTCAAATTCTTAAAATTCCAAATCCCTAAAAAATATTTCATAAACCAACGGATTTGAGACATTTCATAAATCTTTTCGTATATCATCAGTGTCATCTATCACTATTTGCAATCAATGTACATGCTACTCGGCTTGCCATCTTCAATCATGATGTGTGATGATAGACATACACCTTCCACTGTATCGTTATAATAATAATGATTTTTTTTTTCATATTCAAATTTATTAACAGCATGATCAATAATGTGATACATCCAAACCAAACGCATTGGAAGATTTTTAACACTGCATATAAATACTTATACAAACATACACAAGATGTGTAACTACGAAGTCCATTAAAAATGTTGATTTGATTAAGGAAACAACTTTATATATTTTTCATAGCTATATCACTTAATTTGTAAGCTACAATTATATAACTACCATTTTTATAAGCATATTGTATAATTGAAAAAGTGTAGGTGGTGAAATTAGAGATGGCTAAAAATCCGTCTCGAGTTGGGTGGGATCGGTCCCAAATTTTGGTCCCTAGAAATCAGGGTGGCAAGTCCTGGTCTCAATAAAAAATCCAGAGGCTGATGTAGGCCCAGTAACTGGTCATGTTCCTATCAAGCCGGTCTAAAATCCAGTCCTTTTTTTAAAAGGATATTTTTACACAAAAATATTATTAATATTTTTTAATTACATTTTTCTAATTTATAATTAAAATAGAATTTAAATATTACATTCACTTAGATTTTTCTTTTGTAAAATTGAAAATTTTGAAAAGAAATCTTAAAGATCCTTGAAATTGCCTAAGAATTTCTACCGGTCAATCCTGTCCTAATCGACCTCTTTTGGGCCAAAAATAAAGGGTTGGCCCAAAACTCTGAGCCCAATGTAATAAATTGGCTTTTGAAGGGCTGGGAACGGTGGTGAAATATGAAATTTGTAGAACTTGAAACAACTGAATCAGAAAAAGAATTCAAGAATTGATTGATGTATGGTAAATTTATGAGTTCTTGCAAAAATAGTTTCGTCTCGAGAGTTCAGTTAGTCGATTGAAAGCCTTTACGGCATATCTCAGCCATCTCGTCAGAATATCGGCGGCGGTGTGGAGGGGTGCGGAAGCCACACCGATCAACGAAACTTCCCTACTTCTGTGGCCATCATCGTATCAGTATATATCTCTCGCCCTCCCTCGCTATCTATCTGTGGTTTCAGGTATAAACAATGCTACTTCATTTTTCTGTTTAGGTTTCGATGATTTGGGTTTGTTTATTTTGACGAGTATTGTTTTGTAATTTTTGAAATATGCTTTTGATTTATATGTTGATAATAAAAGTTATGTGCTTAGGTTTTGGAAATTTCACTCGTCTCTTTGTGTTTTTGTTACAGTCTTACACTGTTCTCGTTGATCAAAGATATAAAGCCTATCATCACGGCTGTTTAAAGTTTATTACGTATGTATGTCAAGTGTTTGTAAAAATTCCTGACTTATCTGATTCTCCTTCTTCATGTTCTTTTATGATAAAAACGACCCCATCATCTTAATAGATGTAAAGTTAACAAATCAAACATCAAAAGTAAAAACCAAATGAACTTGAAAAATTAGGTAAGTGAAGTCAAATAAATTATAAATCCTAACCCATAATCAATGTACATAGATACAAAAGTAAAAATACAGTAAAGAAGAACAATGATCAATTAGAAATGGGCATTCAACTCGTTTTGTACCTTTAAGTTCTCCTGCTCTCATAAATTCAAGTGTCGAAATTTTCTGTATCGGCACTGGATTTATATTATCCACCGAAAGCCATGTAGTCTTCATGTCTAATTCAGGAAGATTATGTCATGCATCACTGATGACGGAAATGAAAAAATTAATTAACAGCACCCAATTAGGAACAACTTTTTACGATATAGGACATCACCGAAGGCTTTTAATTTGGTCAGATATCTTGTATGACCCACAATTCGATCAGTTCATCATCGTCATCATCATCATCATTAATTAGCCTTCTCAAGATAATTGGGACTAGCTAAAAGATGAAACATGATATATAAATTATAAAAAGATGACCCCAAATTAACTTTTAAATACACTTAACTATGATTGTTAATACGAACAGCAGCTATATTGTTTCTCATGGAATTGATAAGTTACTAAATTACCAGGATAATCTTAGAACTAAGACCTAGTAACTAGGATCATAGAGTACTCATATACGATATAAAGTAGAGCACGACAACATGGAGGCAGGTCGACAGAGATCAAAACAACATCAAAAGAACCTGGAAAATAGAATTCTGGTTACAGGGTCTCGCAGAGGGTTTAGGATCAAATGTGGTCTTCCTTCTTTCGTTATTCTAAAAAATCTGTTGAGCCCAATCGCCCATCAATGGAGGAAGTACAAAAGGGTGTCTACCTTCATTTCCGACAACACTCATTCTTTTACCTGAGTTTTGGCTGAAGGATTCCAACATTTGTTTGCCCAGTTTGTGTACATCCTCACGGTCACCATCTACAAATTCCCTCCAGAACGTTTATACGCTTAGTAAATATTTGAAACATCTGGTGTAAGATACTCTGGATTATTCCCAGTAGTCAAGTTTCATGACCATATTCTCATATACGATCACTTAAAAAAACACTTGGATTTTTTAAATTTAGGAATAAGCAATCTTCTAATTGCTGTGGCAGGCAATAAGGAGCATATAAAGGTGTATGGTCCCTTAGACCCATGAAAAGATGAAAGTGTGTTATTATTGGATGGTGTTATAGTGAAATTAGTAACATAGAGAGTAGGATTATTGTGTTTTGTAAGTTGGATCAAGATCCATGGTCCTGTGGTTGGATTGTGAACCAGAAAATTAACTATAAAAGCAAAACGTTGCCTCATAGAATTAACTTTATAGTATTTGATGTCATGTGTAACTAGATAAGAAATGACCAACATAAGGATTGGCATCTACAAAAAAAGATGGAACTCCCCTCATAGCAGAGAATTTCTTCTGGGGTTGCTTGCCAAATAAATGTAGCTGATTCTGCTGATGTTTTGCTGCTTTTGCTGGAAGAAAAACTATTCCATTGTATGTGCATTTGATCCTGTCAGGGGTCTCCAGATGTATTTGTCAAGTAGGGGCTGGAAAATGGTGTGCTCTTTCCTTGAATTGTAATTCTCTCTAGGTTTTTGTATGTTTATGTCTAAGAATGATGATGAATCTCTCCCAAACAGGCACCGCATTCTTTGCATTCAGACCTGCCCGTACTTGAAAGCTATGAAAATTAATTCTTTGTGGAAGTTTTTATTTAGGCGGCATTGGTCAAACATGCTGAAAATCCCTATCAGATTTGAATTTCATAAGTAGTTTGTTTGATCTTAAACTCAAACTATATCTCTGATATCGTCGTAAAACAGAAAATGTTACTTTTTTGTTCATTGGATCTGGTCATGGTTGAGTATCGACTGAAAGTCTAACGATGTCTTTTATATCATTTGATTGTGATGTTTGCAAGGCTTGTTGGTGATGTTTGTTATTTCATGGACTTCTCGAACACCATATGCCTGTGATTGTTAAAAATCATGATATGTTTCTTAATTTTTCTAGATATGCAAATTTTGGTGAATCTTCACAACTGAAGAAACCTAAGATTAACTGGAAATAAGAAAATAGGGCAAAACGTTTATCGAGTCATGAATAGACGAGAAGGTGGGCCTTAAGACACTTTCTTGGAAGAATGTAGCAGAAACACCAAATAAGAAGCATAATTTCATTGTTGAATAAAGACAAATGAAACCGGAGTATATGTTCTTGGCTAAATATTTTTTAAATTATGAAAAATAATTTATCGTCATCCATCACCTATTCGTACTGAATATTTGGTAATCGGTCATTTAATTCAACATTTCAACATATAGAGAATTATAATGGTAATTTTCTGTCACCCGGTGCTAAATCCATAACACTTGGTAAACAGTTTTTCCAAACAGCGCTTACTCCGGACAGAACCGCCTACTTCAGATAGGCCTCCTACTCAAGACACCGCTTATCAACAATGAATGGTAAACAGCCATAACCTGTTTGAACATCAAAGTTATTGGAATAAAGTTAAATGAAAACTTTAATTACAGATTTGCTTCAAGTTCTATGCAATAGGAGATGCATATGTATCCTGGCCCTAGAAATGTGGTTCCATTAAAGAGGACATAATAAGTATGTTGTAGATTGTATTTGACTTTTTGTATCCATAATCCTCTTGAAATTACTGTTTATGTTGCAAATCTGGTTACATAAATTGCGTAGTTTTTATACTTTATTGAGGTTAGTGCGGAATTATGTTATCTGCTTATTTAAACATAAACTTTTAAGCCAGGTATTTACAACTTGCCTAGATCTGTCCTGTTCGTGATTATCATGATACATCTGATCGCAAATTTGTAATTAAAACCACAAGGGTGGTGCCCGGTTGGTTTGAGCTTGGACTCCAAAGGTTCAAAGTGCTCGGAGGTCCTAGGTTCGAATCCAAAGAGGAATAAAAATCCCCTTGTGGCCACGGAGGTTCAGATGCGGTGACTCCGGGATACTCGCGAAGCGGGTGGTTGCCTTAGGATTAGTCGGCTCGCATAGCGGGTTGGATATCCAGGTTAAAATAATGTAATTAATAATGCAATAACCTGCTAAGATATTGACAAAGTGTGTTTGGATATGCCGACTGCCCTTCCAAAGAAGAAGTCCCAACCCTATTAACATAGGAGCCAGAAGTGGAAGGAGAGGTATTATCAACACATATTAATGTATCTGTTCCATAAAAAAAGGTTTTTTTATTCTCAAGTAATTGTTTCCGATTCACGGATCTTATCTCTTTTGAAGAAAGTCAATGAAAAATAAGATTTGCACCAACTTATTTAATAATTTGATATTAGTATTAATTCGTAGATTGATAAAAATGAGTGGATGGCTAGGAACACTAAGGTACACAAAGGATTCCTAATAGATATTATGCAAGTCTATTTTTTCTGTGTATAAAAAGGAATTATAGTTGGCCTTTGAATTTGCTAGAAATGATCAGTTTTGCTACAGCACCTGCTGCTCTAGCTAACTGTCCACCCTTTCCAGGTGTGATTTCTATGTTATGTATGGCGATTTCATGGCTTTAATTGTACGTTTGTTGTAATAATAACATGTATTGAGACTTTAGCTCAAACTACAAGCAACTACATAAACAACCCTGGGGTAAATTGAGTAGTCCGCGCTAACTACTAATTTACTCAACTAAGCTTGCATCTATCTGTAAACCTTTTCATATATGCTCGATGGATTTGGTTACATTTATGTTTTTTGTGCAAGTTTGGTTTCTAACGGCATCTTGTCTTTTTCTAATAGATCAAATTTAGCAATATCATAATGGAACCATCAGCTGAGGCAGAATATGCGGCATTCCAAGAAAAGGTCAAGAGGACGATTTACCTTGACAATCTCTCCCATCAGGTTACTAAAGCTGTTCTAGAAAATGCTCTCAATCAGTTTGGGAACGTCATGAATGTTCAGTTTATTCCCGCCTACTTCATGTCCAGCATTTGTGCTGCTTTGGTGGAGATGGAAAGCATAAAACAGGCTGAAGAAATCATTCGTGATGTGGGTGAATCCCCTTTTATGATATCTGGGATGCCAAGGCCTGTTAGAGCACAAAAAGCCCAAATGGAAATGTTTGATGATCGTCCTAAGAAGTCTCATAAAAGGATAGTATGCCATTGGATGGACCCAAGCCATCCAAACTTTGAGGTGGCAAAGAAGTTTAAGAACCTGACGAAAAAGCATGCTGCCGAGGCCTCATTTCTAATGGAGGTATATGCTAATAACTGTTTCTCGTTTAACTTGTGAAACATTTCTGGATGCCATACATCAATTATTTATTTGATTTGATTTGAGTAGCCCCATAAATATATATGAATATGAAGCTGCTATTATAATTTATAACCTCACTCCCTGATGGACCCCTGTCTCGTAGAGAACAGCCGTAGAGACACCATAATCTCGAAAATGGCCAGCTTTTTTGTGCAAAAAAGGGATATGATCTTGAAGATCCGTAACTGAGATTTAGGGGCCGTTTACTAAACGCTTACCTGGTAAGTGCTTACCGGGTCACTGACAAGGATTGCGAATTTTAACTCGGTAAGAGTGATTACAAGGACCGAGAGTCTTACCCGGTAAGTGAAAGTGACGATTCTGAAGCGCTTATTGGATAAATTGTTACATTAATGCCATTTTAATGGACTAAAATCTTACACGGTAAGTTAAGTTGAAGTGTTGACGCTTACCTGGTAAGCGTTAGGTAAAAAGTCTCTTAGATTGCCGTTACCGTTTGAGAGGGAGTTAAGTTGCCTTGTCACAGAACTACATTAATATTGCAATAACACATAACTGAGTGATAGAATCAACACTTGATGATGCCTCACTTAAGCATTGAAAATTTTGAATAAGAACTCTTGTAATCAGTCTTGCTTGAGCCTTACTGGGGGAGGTTTGAAGTTTTTTAACCGTAGTGATGAACCTGTAATTATTGTGTGGTTGCTTAGTGTAAATGCAATAGATTTAGGAGTCGGTGGTGAGGTTTCAGAGAGTTGGAGGTTCCATTCTAGATGACGTGAACAGAAATCAATGGTGAAGAAAGCTGAAGGTTAATGTTAATCAACATGAAGTCTGACTATGAGACCTCTTAGTCTGCAGTGGACCACTTGCATTTATATATATCTCTCTCTATATATATATATGGCAAAACTCACACACACTCCTCAACCTGGTGAGGCTTAACCCTTTGGCGACCGCCTATATGTTTCTTGTAGGTAAACATTGTATTATACTTTCTATGTGTTTGTATGGTAATTTATTCTGAAACGACTTTGGACACATGACTGTGCGACATAAATGGCGTTTATTATTTTGTGTTTTGCAGCAACAACTGGCAGAAGAAGAGAAGCTGCATAATCAGCAGGCAGAAACTTTGAAAGCAAATTACAAGAAGTATGAACTGATTGATGGTGCACAAAACGACGGAACTGTTAAGCGATTGGCAGCCTGTTATAACACAAAACTCATGGATGGTTGATATGATACCTATTCCTTTTGCCTTTATCACATTGTTCCCAAACTTCCAAATCTACTCATCTGTGCTGTGATATGTCAAAGGTCACTTTTAGATTTGTGCAACAAATGATGCTGCTTCTAAGAGATGTTTCTATACATACATATATGGGTGGAGATTCAAACAAGAACACCTCCATTTTACGAAAGCACAAGAACACTCTTCTTATCACATCTGATAATACATGTGAGAGCACCCGGCAGTTGCTGGACTTGGCCTGTGACCTATAGTCACGCCAAAGGTCGTTTCCGTCACTGATTTAGTATTACATGTGTATTGTATGTGATGGATTACAATATCACATCGAGTACTCTCTAATCACATGTGATAATGCACGTGATGAGGCGTAGTTTGTGTGCACGCGACTTGGCTCGCAATCGATGTCGCACCAAAGATCGTCCGTGCCTCTTATTTAGCATCGCACATGTACATGTGACGTATTATGGTATCACATGTGACTGATTATAGTAGAAGGGTGTACTTGCGTTTTCATAAAAAGAAGGTGTTCTCGTAAGAGCATCATTGAGGTCATTCTGGACTTCCCCAGATGATGAAGTTTTGTCTGTTAAGTACCATATGATGGTTCTTTAAGCATTTCCAACTAGTCAAATTGGCAGAAACCAAAAGATACATAAAAACCATGGAAAAATTGCATAATATTTGTAAATTGGTGTCATTGTGAAGAAACACCCGTGACAATCGATTAAATTTAATGGGATGTAAATGTGTTTAACATCGTTAATGGCATATTTTCATTTAAATGAATGTTAATTATATAATTTAGATGTAAATTTCATAATGATGATGAATAAATATATGAAATTATATAAATTTATCTATAAATTCAACACTATAAATTTTAATTGGTAAAATAGGCAATTTAAACAAATTCAGACGTTTATCAGTTATAAAAACAAACGGTCTTATTGATTCAGATTTCAAAATTCAGCACCACCTCTTATAAGAAGTGAAATAAGATTTCAGATATCAGTACACCTTAAAAAACAAACGTCACCTAAGATTATTTTTAATGTGTAATTTTTCTTTCATGTTGTGTTTTCACATTTATTATTCCATGGTATGAAACCACACAAAATTATACGGTTTTTTATTCGTATTAAATACGATACATACAGGTCTTATCAACTTATGGGTTGATAGGCACTTGACTCCAACAAAGTTTCCAAGTTTTGGAATTCGTCAGTAATTGATTGGTTTATAGTAATGACATGCATCTCGGTCGAAGTCGACGTCACTTTCGCCTCCAATTACCTCGCATCATATTACTCTTGATATTAATCCGTTTAAATTTAATAATACTAGAAGTGTATTCGTGTAATATAACGCAGTTTTGGTGTCTAAAACTTAAACTCTCAATCATGATTCATACTTTATTCTTTTCATTGTCTTTTTTAATTTTATTTTACAGTTTGAGAAAGCTACAGATGGGTTGATTATTATTTTATCATTATATATATATATATAGAGAGAGAGAGAGAGAGAGAGAGAGAGAGAGAGAGAAAGAGAGAGAGGTTTAAATGAGAACATCTCCATTTTACGAGAACGCGAGAACACCTTTATGAATATGAGCTTCAAATTAAAAATTATAAAATTTTAATTTCCTAGTTTAATTAATAGGATTTAAGTTTTATTATAATTAAGATTTAAAATAAAAATATATTTTATTGTAGTTTAATTATGATTTTTTAGAGAAATAATATTTTATCAGGGTTTAAAGATTGTTGAATTTAAATGATAATTATATTTAAATATTATATATTTAAAATTAAAGAGATAATATACCTTAATAAAAAAAATCTTGTGGTTATCGGTTAATTATACAAAGAGTTTTTAAATTTTATATATTTTAAAAAATAAAGATAAGTGTTTCATATCGTATTATTTGTTTGCAATTAATTACACGAATTCAAAAATGAAATATCAATAAGTTTCTTATACTTAATCAACTTGTAATTATAGATTTTAAGTAATATGTATTAATAAATGATACTTAATACATAAAAGTTAGTTTTTAAAAGTTAATCTAAATGCTTTATAATAAAAAATAGATGTAGTGATTTTTATTTAAAAAGATAAATTTTTTATGGTTTTTAAATCGAAAAAAGAAGAAGATGAATTATAAACTTATGTGGTTTTTGGGTAAAAAAGTTTAAAATCATGTAAATGTGTACATGTATTGCATATCTTATATTTTCTCCTTTTCTTTGTATGATAACCAGTTGTTTAGCTATATTGTTTGGGGTTGTTTTGAGAGAAGATGATAAGTGGAGGGGTTTAATGTGCTTTAAAATGTTTTAATTCCCACCGCCTCATTATTTTAGAATAGTATAATGAAATAATTGAATATTATCTCATTGGGATGTGGAAAAAGTAAATAAGAAGGATAAGAAAGCTTTTCTATGTGTGTGTTCGCTTGGGTGAAAAACAAACAGACTTGTAACGGAGAAAAAGAAAAACTGATCATGTGATTTCTATTTGAATCTTGTTGTGTTAATTCATCTTCAGGAAAATAAGGTGAGTTTAAATTATCAATCTTCTTTATTTGGTATTTGAAATTTGAACCGGATGATTCTTACATGAAGATGATGATAAAAATTGTTTCCGTATGCTATTTGAGCATGACGGTGAGACTGGGAATAGAACCGTATGGTTTTTTATACGAGTTACTATTATGAAACTGTTTTGATGTCATTATTGGCAAAATGATGGGTTTTTGTCATGATTATATCATGTGTCGAAATAAAGATGACATATCAAGGATCTGGATAAATTTGAAATAAGAGTGACATAATCAGGAGCTGAGCGAATTTGTAATGAGAGTGACATAATCAGAAGCTGAGTAATTTGTGACAAGGGTGACATAATCAATTTCTGGAAATGATGATCTTTTTTATCATGGGGTTTTGTTATCGCATCCTTATGATGCGATAATCATGAGTTATCGCATCTGTGTGATTAAGTTATTGGATAATTTTTTGGAACAAATAAGTCCTTGAACATTCCAAAACATGTTAAATAACTCCTTGGACTTTTTAAAACATGTTAGATACATTCTTATGACCTATATAACTGGTTAATGAACATTCATATTTTGAACGATTAAATCCCTAAACATTTTTTGAACCAAAAAGTAGATCTATAAAATTAAACAAATATAACAAAAAAATACTTATATTTACAAAAAAAAATACATTTAAAAAAGATTTTTGATAAAATTATTTTAATTAAAATAAAAATATATTTTGTCAGTGATTTTTCAAATTAAAAAAAATTGAA